GCTAACGGCAGCTTCCGCTTCCCCCCCGCGCCCCGCCGCTTGGGCCTTGCTTTGGGCTGCAGCTGGCCGGCAGGGGGCTGCGGAGGGGGTCACGCCAGCGGCCAAGAGCGCGACGGGAAGAGGAGAACCAGGAATCGATCGCTCAGCGCGTGGAAGCGTTGCCCAACTGGAGCGTTGCCCCGGCCGCGGCCGGCCCGGCAGAGCGAGGCGGCCCCGGGGCCAGGGGAGCGCTCACCGGCGTTTACGGGCACGGGGGGGTGGTCAGCTAGAAGGAAGTCTGCTTGCTTTTGGTGAGGAAAGGGATGGGGGGGGCAACCTCAAGTGAAGACCCAAAGCTGGGCCATACCCTCGGTTTACCATTCACCTGCCCGCAAATTTATTCCAGTGCGCTGAATCCAGCGCTACGAGACCTTCGGACGTTCATGCTCGACAGGAGAGGGGGGAAAAAAGCAGGTAGAGCAGCGGAGGAACAAAGATTTGTTTGGTTGCTCTTCGCTGGAGCACAGGTCTTCTCCTGCTAAAAGGCACCTGTTCATCGGGACCGGCTGGGAGCTGACGGGGTTTTTGCCTTCGGTGGCTCTAAGGGCTTGATCCAAGGCCACTGAAATCAATGAAAAGCTTCGTGCTCAGCTCACTGGCCTTGGATCAGCCCGCGCAGGAAATTTGTTCTCGCTTGCCCCCAGCTATGGGCCAACCAATATTCCCAGTGCTTAATATAAAGCATTATTAGACCTGCGGCGTCACACGCGAAGCAACACTAGCTATTAAGGAAAGTGGGTTGATTAAGGGACAGCCTTGAAGACTAAAAATAATGAGGAAAATAACACTCAATGCCATCTGAAAGCAAAAACACAATCAGTTCTTATCACAAAGCTTTTTATGTGGTGGTCTGTGTACCGGTCTGAACTGAGCCGTGTTTGTTTTGGACGCGCTGAAATAAGACAGCCTCGCATATTGGCAGCAGGGTATATGAGCAGCTTCAAGAGCAGCTTCAGGCCTGATCCGAAGGCGATCAATGCATTGACCTCTCCGAGGCTTGGAGCAGCCCCCATGGGAATCACGTTGCAGTTAAACACATCTATCTGGGACCAGCTATAAATTCGGTCTCACAGCACTTGCTCTGGGAAAGGGTACTGACATTATCACTGGCAAAACCATGCCGAGACGAGCAAAAATACGGGGGTTGTAGCTAATAGGTATAACACAACATTAAAAAAAAAAAACCAAAAACTTGGCTCGAGGCAAATCAAGCAGTCGGGGAAAACGCACCAGCTCCCAATTAACTCCCTCAGCCCGGACAAATTGCACAGAGCACACAGTGATTTGCAGAGGAAGACAAAAAGGATGTCAGGAGCTCAAAGTCTCACTTTTTCACAGGCTTCAAAAACATTGCAAGTGAGGTGAGGGGGGGAAAAAAAAATACAGGCCTTTAGTCCTATCCGGAAATATGTGGCACAACCTGGGGCCTTAAACCTAGTTTAAGCCTGGCGCTAGGCTGCCTTTCCCCCCCTCCTCTTTCTCCCTTGCTCCACCGCTCTTTGCTAGCATTATCGGAGCTGCTCGCTCCTCCGCAAACATCCAAGCAGCCAAAACACGGGCCGGATTATTGCCCTAACCCAACCAGCTGGGGAATGACACAAGGCGCTTGTTTCCCGGCGCGGCGGGAGGGAGGAGGAAGCTGGGGCAGGGAGGGGGGAAGCACTAATTTAAACATTTCTCTGCAGTGATGGAAACCCACCTGGACTAGAGACAGCTCCTCGGCC